GATTGATTAACACCGAGAGCGTTTTCCTTTATCCTTTGTGTATCCTTTGTTTAGATTTGAACGGAATGGTCCAGCCACAGTGTAGCTTTCAAAGCTGAGAGTGGGCGATACAATAGAGGTTCGAATTTCAACAAGATACTTCACTAAATGTATATGTATACACAAAAACTTATTGTATGTATATTTACTTGACGATGCCTAATGTCTAAAAAATGTCTGGACAGACACCAATGAAGAGCGCAGTGGTTTCACTTATGAACACAATGGTAACCATATGCGGTTCTCAAAGTTTATTTCACTTCATTACTTTTGCATTGTAATTTTACTGACGTGAAGGGAAAATAAAGAGTGAAACAATTAAAATAACCTAATGCAGTAGGTAAGAGAAAGTAATAAAAGGCATAAATACAAGCGAATATAAATGTGAATAAGTATAACAGTGTAAAAGTCCTTATGAGCTATTGATGCTTCACGTTACCGTAACAATGGATTAAGTTGCTTCATTATCGTGACATTCTGTCATCACAAAGGACATCAATACCCATATATTTGGAGGACAAAAAAAGGATAAAGCTCTCAGCGTTGATAAATCACTTTAGAAAAGCTCCATACATTCGACTTCACTTAGCATCGTTTAGAGGTGACTGAATTCATATGTGGCCTTTACAATAACTCATAGTGGCTTGCCGATGTATCAAGCCAGTGCTGCTACCCTGCCAAACAAGTCTGGTACCAATTTTCCGACCCCAGAGGGGTGGAAGGCTTGGTCGGCCATGAGCACATGGAACGACTCCACGTGCGTGTTGCAGGGTGCGTCCGACCATTGCGCCACACATGTCCGTTATATTTGGAGAAATGCTATTGAAGCATTGAGCTATGTTTTTTTAATGCCTATAACATTGGAGTACATTTTTAACCTGGCTGTAGCTCCTCTATTTATCCTCCTTATTATTTTGTCGAATTACTTTTTATGATTTGCAACTTTTTTGACTTTCTCATATTACATCTGGCATTGAATTTCATCTTATGCCCATCTTCTTGAGACTTTTACAATTTTATAAAAAAGATTCTTTTGTGTTTCGTGCTTGGTTTTTTTACCTCGATGTTAAATTCGCTTTAAATTTAAGTTTGTCCGGCTGTTCAACTGTTTTCGTGCCCGAAATACAGGCGGCGACGAACGAACAACGTTTCCTAAACTTCAGCAAATAGGAATTTTGTCTTTGCAAAGCGAGAGGATTTGGGCAATTCAGGCAAGGATTTGTACATTCTAATCTTTCCTATTTCAATGAATATGGTTCACTATGAGCACAGTTCGGGGAAGAGGTGCATCATAGCGCAGTGGTAAGTGATGTTGATCATCACCAGTGTAAACTGCATGCTGGTAGTCTCCATATGAAATACTCAGTTGAAGACTCAAAAAAAACAACGAGTGCATGAAGAAACTGTTTTGCTTCTAAAGTGATTCAAATCTAAGTATCGTGGCTTTTATTTTGAGATTACACGGATATTTCGCTGACTATATTGCTATTAATAAATAGTACAACAACGACGTCGTCTGTGCTTACCAGGAAAACAGCGAGCTAACAAAACAGAAAAGCCTCAGAAGTCGGTTGCTGAAAAATATCTGTTAGTTGGTTTAAATCTAATGGTGGACATTACTATGACATAATATGCATTGAAACCAATGCATTTTGTGGCAAATAAATTACATTACATGCTTATAACAAAAGCGCCTGTATCCGGATAGATGGTACAATGGGAAATATATAATTACCTTAAAAAGTAGCCACCTTTTCCTTCCGCAACTAATCGAATAACTCAGTGATTCAACACGAACGCTAGTACTACGCAGTATTACAGTACTATACAGTTACAGTATGTAGTAGACAGGATAACCTAGTTTGGAGCTAATAAAAATTATTAACTCATCGCTATACATTTTGTCGCTTTCCATTCACTTTGTTTCTTTTTCAACATCAGCACTGTTCAATTCTTTTTCTTTATTCTGGTCAAATGTGTTCAAAAAAGAAAGATGAAAAGAGAGGGATGCGTTCGGTGACAAAAATCGCTGCCACAATGGAATCGCGCACAAGACGGCGAATATGTCGCCCGCTTTACCGAGCACGACAGCCAATTAGAGCGCAACGTGGTTACGGTAGCGACAGGACGACATCGATGTGTCCTGTCCGAATAATTGTGGGTTTTGTTTTCTTCTTATCGTTTGTTTAACCTTAAAAGTGGGAAATAATCTTTAACTACACCAGTAATAAATTGCTTCTGTCGGTAAACTTAACATTTTTTTGCAATTTGTACTATTTCACACCAAAATGATTGATGCTAGAATATAAACAAATTAAGTAGACTAAATAGCAAAGTAATCTTAAGCATAACTTTTTAAAGTTTGTTAAGGTTTGCAGGCTGCAATAATCACCTTTAAAAGTTAAAGTTTTCTACAGACAAACGGGACAATCGACTCGGATCATCAGCTCTGATGAAGAAGATGACGACGAAACGTCGGCCGAATAAAAATTGTTTATTAACCTTGTGTAGGCTTATTAAAGAAAGAAGACGTGTTAAAGTTTTCACTAAAGCAAGGATCGAAATTTTCTTTTAATAGATGGATTTCACTTTTTTTTGATACTTTATGTTCTTTGCAATTTACTAGTTTTCCTCCAAACCCCTACCAAAGTACACTGCTCACATTGTAGAAAGAACGTGGGAATTCGTATACAAAAAGTACCATATGTACGGATGAACTTGATAAAATATGCAACGACACAACTTATTCAAATAAAATTATAAGCATTTCATGCTTTTTCTCCTTCGCATTGGGGTGTATGTAACAGGAGCCCTATCGTTGTAGAATCCATTCGTGAAAGCAATCACGAATCACATAAAATATGAAGAAAAAGTTGAAAATGTTTTAACCCTCAAATCAATGAGAGGATTAGGTTATAAAGCATTAGAAAGACTACATTGACAGCTTTTAATATTCAAAAAGATTAAGGAGAAATCTTACTGCGGATTGTCCTGGTTCACTAAATGACAGATATCACGTATCCTAATCGGAACTACATTTTTATTTGATGTAAAAAAACGAAAAAATTTTTTTTGAAGATTTCAACAGTAAAATATTGCCTACACAAGCTCAAAAACTCTAAGTGCCGATTTGTGTGAGGTTCAGGAACCACATTTCTTCACTTATTGTGCTTTGAATGCAGAACTCTATTGAACTTCGACACCGACAGCAAACACATCTATTCAATTATATTTCCTCAATTTTTTCAACAATCATTAAAAATGGCTTATTACAACCTTATAAATAACTTCGTTTTAATATAACAAAAAAATTAGGAACGATTTAGCCCGTTATAGGGCTTTCGATCGGTCACGGTAGACTAATCGTCGCAGGAACCATTGCCACCATAAGAACTGCAGCTGTTCTAAAAGAATGAAAGACCTAGGCCTTCGCTCGATCCACATGAGCTGTCGAGTGCCTGTAGTGAAACGTTCCTAACGCTACAGTGAGGTCATATCATGAATACAGAGAAGACTAACTCGACTAGCATTGAACATCTTCGTATGCAAAGCGGGTGGCAGAATGTTAAGTCGTAGCCGAACTATACATGAATCCGACCACCTTGATGCATGGGGCTGTTGAGAGAAAAAGTCGAATGAAGAAAGTGCTTAAAAACTGCACGATATGAGAGGGGAATCCGTATAAGTAACCATGCAAAAACAGAACTAGGTTCTCCAACATATTGTTGAAAAAGAACGTCTGCTAAAATAAGGTTGGATAGTTGTGCCATACCGACTACAGCAGGTCTCAAAAAATTTCACGGCCGTCACTGAACTTGCTTGCAGCGAAGAAGAGGTCTTATGGTGGAAAACACTATGGACAAAAAACTCTATGGGGACATCAACTGGCACCGACTAACACGAAAAAATCGTACATTGCTGAAAAAACGCTGTTTAGCCCACGGAAAGAAAAACTCTTTAGAGAGCGACAAATGAAATTGAGGAAAGTGGGAGAGTGATAAACAAAAGACACTGTCTCTAGAAGTGCTACTCAGAGCATGGCACCAACACTGTACACAACAGGAAAGCAGTCGATGAAGCTGACAAGTGATCAACAAGTACGGATGATTTCCAAAAATATTCGATATTTTACCACACTCCTTTTATGTTAGAGCTTCTGATGACTATATCTAACTGTAAGAATATTCTCGGTTTCTCATTTAGATGCCTAGTACCACCTCAGTCACCGAGTCCAATTAAATAATGGTGATTGAGAAGAGAAAAAGTGAAAATCTCCAAACAAAAACGAGAAGCCTTTCAATGTTTCTACACAAAAAGAATATTGATGGCCATTAAGCAACTGATACTGAACAAAACTAAACGTTTATTTGCGCGCTCTCCAGATCAGATCTATCCCGTTAACAGGTGATTGCTGATTTCACTGGTAGATATAAAACCAGCTGAGAGAAACGCAGAGCAAGGGTCACCATGGGGCAGTGTCTAATGCGCGAGCCCACGGAAAGGGAAATCGTAGTTCGATCTACCCCGGAGTCCAAATTTCGCGAATATCTCAGCATCGTTGTGGTTGATTTCGCATGACGTCCTGCCGCAAAAATTGCGGTAGGCAGTAAATAAAGAAGTAAACATTGTAAAAGTTTGTAATTCTAAGTGACATATTCATAGAATTTTAAATAACTACAAGAGAATGCATGATTTTGTCAGTGCTAGAAAGCGCTTAGAAAAGAAATTGGCACAGTAATGTACTGTAACCTCTGTGTAGGCATTTATAGAAACGAAATATGTTGCTAAGACCTCTAAGAAACACAGTAGACCACGGAATATTGTCGTATAGCGGAGGTCGTCTTTTTAGTCAAAGTTTAACTATGATACCACATATAGTGGTAATAACGACAAAGGATAGAGAAAGCTTATCACTTTCTTGAAGAAAAATGCATTACACTGTAAAAGTAAAACTTCCATCAATGGAAACAAACTCACCGGTGTCGTCTTCTTCTCGAGTTCGAAAGAATCAAAAAACAGATTGTTCACGTCGAAAACGTTCATGCCAAACTCGCAAGATGAATAGCAAAATGAATTTACCAGGAGGAAAAATCAGAGAAGATGAATTCGCAGATAAGGATGATCACGCCATGGCAATGTATTTTTACAGTATTCATTCGCTTAGTGATGGCAAAGTGTCTGGAAATAGAAGAAGAAGAAAGAAGAAGGAGGAGCTAACATTCGAATTTCGTATACGATTACGCCCAATTCAAAAGCATGAGAACTTTGCGAGTGTGAGAGAGGGTGAGCGAGAGGTGAAAATTTGAATTCTCTGTTTGCTTCAGTCATCGTCGTCGAAAGTAGCTAGAATCGCTGGATGGTTTTTTTGTTGACCGTCGTCCGAATTCTCTTCCACACAAGCTGACATTTCAACACTAACAATCATATCGAATTTTTCCCAGTCACGATTCTCTTCCACCCATTTAAGAACGTCTACAGCACCTTTTCGAAAACCGGCTTTTCTTTAATCTAGGCGTAACTAAATAGTAACACTTTCTTCGATGATTATGCCAGCATTAGGTTGATGAAGAATTTTAGACGGCTAACGTTTCAACGTCCTCGCCTTTTTCGGAGTCAGTGATTCCGGTTAATTGTCCACCGCCGTGCCCCCTTGAGTTGTTGGTTTTCGCACTCTTTCTAGCACTTTTAGCACTTATCAAATGAATCAACACAACCTCCTTTTTTCATTGAATATCCACTTCCATTAACATAAAATATTCGCATTGTGTTTGAAAATTTAATTCCAACACCCCTCTCAGCGGTTTATCGTCTCATCCTGGCTGGTAGGTGTTTCTGGGTGTCGAGCTGCGATGCACAGTGGGAGGTTCATACCTTAGCAGGGTCTCCCAAACTCGAAACTAGTTCGAAGTTTTTATTAGAAAGGCCAACTAAGAGCAAACCATTACCAGGATCTGCCATTGTTTTGGTATCAAACTAGTCAAATGGTGGAAAATTTCCGTCTGATCCACAAAGGCGGCGACTGCCTGTGGTGGTGACGTCTTGGGGCAGACTTTTGCCTGGCTGACCTCGAAACTCTAGAAAACTATAATGACTAAACCAGTAAAATTCTGAAAAATGGTGATTATGTTGGGGTCCGTACAACTGCTGAGGACAGCCCATCCAAGTAAGCAGTTCCAACAGCACTTATAGATGTAGAATGATTTAATTGAGAGTTACCAAAGTGGTTTAGTAGTTTATACCGCTCAGAACCATCATATAGAGATCGAGTACATTACTATAGTATAAGCAATAGAAAAGGAAAGAATAGGAAGTTCATTGCTTGCACTTTCATATTTATTTCACAAAAACAACGAAAAAAAAGGGTTGGGAAAGACCACTTGTTGCAGTTTCTTTATTAGTTTTCCAAAAGTTTCTCATAGAAAATTTCAGGTATAAGGTGCTAAACCGCTGAATCGGGTTTTAAAAATAAAGCGAAAACTAATAAAACAGGAGTACAGCCCGAAAAGTACGGTAGTGCTCTCGCTGCCTACAGTTGTTCTACTAAGTTCGCGCCCTCGTGGATGCCTCTTATGTGAGTTTTTATCCGTAGATGGACAAGAGCTTAGGAGCGAACCCTAAACGATTACATACTTTTTCTAAAACAAAGGTGAGGATTGATTTTTCTTGCTTAACTAGATTGAACTAACCTTATGTGTAATGTTAAAGTCTTTAATATATACACGCGTATGAAAACTTGCGTGTATAAGAATTGCATAATTCAAGTTGATGCGGCTAAAAAGCATGAAATCACATTAATGAGAACCATCAGCGTTCAGTGTTGATGGAGAAGCCCAATTCTCATTAACAACTTCTACTCTCAAAAGACGACAAAGTAATTGTTTTTGAGCATGCCGATAACCCTGGATTTATGCTTACACGATTTCGCTAAAACAGACAAAATATATAGAAAAGCCCAAGTAAAATGTCTGATTATGCTTTTCGACCTCCTCGGACAAGACAACAAGTGAGCAGCAAATACGTTATAGAGGGTTTGGTTTGCTGTGAAAGCGAGTTCGAACCAGCTACCAAGTACGTATTGCATGTACCTTTCACCATTGTTGCTAAACGCTTCCTAGTTGTGAGAAATATAAGTAGTTTACGAATCTATCACTACATTTTTGGTTCAGAACAGCACTCATTTGTTCAAAGACGTTTATGTGGTAGAGCGATCTAACTAAAACGCCATCAGTTGGATTACGCAGGTTTAAAATTAGATATATTAGATAGTGCCAACTTTGCACTTTTAAGCAAGTAGTGAACTCTAAGATATATAGAGTACAAAAATTCTCACGCCATGTGCGAGCATATGTGCACTATCCACAGAAATGAGGCATTTGTAGCCTCACCATTCACACGAAAATCCAAAAAACTTTATTAGGGGGAAAAAATCGTTTTGACTGGTGCACGCTGCATTCCGATCGATAACCACACTTCGTGCTCAAAAAATCGATAAAAATGGTCAATTTCACACGAATCACAATCACAAATCAACAGCTGATGCCGATGACGTTCAAACAAATGAAGCGCTCATCTGTCGGTTTGAAATCGATGAGACCATGAGGTTCATAAAAAAATGAAAACGACCCTTGGAGTACGCCTATCCGATTTCGTATGATGGATTTCTTATTGTTTTACGCAGCTTAAAATCTTCGCTACCTTTTCATTTGCGGTGACGATGTTCCATGTTTCAGTAGTTTGACAAAAACGTATGAAAAAGGGTTCGCATGAACAATGATCATCTCTTCACCAACTATTGACATCCTTTTCTTTTTTTTCTTCTCTCTCTTTTTTTTTTACTTAAATGTGCAAGTAAATGATTATTTCTGTTGAGTGGAGAAATCCCTCTCTCGCAATCCTTTGACTTCCTCGCGCTAGTCTTTCATTCGTTTCCATCCGTGTTTCATTTTCACAATGACTTATGCCTTTACTTAGGTTGTATTTCAACAATTTTCACATTACTTATCGCGAACAAATGAAGAAGTCATCCCATTTAAAGAATAACGTCTCAGCAGCGTCTCACGATTTCATTTGATGATGTGGGTCATGATATAGACTACGGTACTGAATGGATTTCCTTAACATCAAATAACTTTTCAGGTAGTCCGTGTCGATTTTGAAACGTACACAAAGTCTAATCTAAATACCTTAACGAGTTTTGCGAGGTGATATTTTGATTTGTGCGCTATGATCGCAACCTTTACTTCAAAGTATACACCGCTATGCTTTCGTATGTCCGACAGAAATGTAATGAGGTGATTTGTGATGATTCCACTTCATCATTAGAATAAAAATTTTCTCTAACATTGATTTAAACGGTGTTTTTACGATTTACAAAACAAAAATTCAACCATATTTATATTACATCACTCAAAGGGACGGTAAATGTTCAATGGTGGCTGAACTAATACAGTCAAAAGCATTACCGGTTTGGGCAGAAAACAATAAGAAATAGAGGCTATCGAAAAAGAGGAAGCTGCAATTTAATTTGAAGAAACTCTGTTTCTTATTAACCTATTTTAAAATAACTCTATCTTTACGTAGCAATTCCCACGACCGACTTTCTGTTAACCTCGGCATTGATTGATAATTCGACGTTTTTCTTCGATAAGCAGACACGAGGTTGTTACAGAATTTATTAGGATACAATAGCTGACGTTTTGGCGGATTCGCCTTCTTAGGAGCCGTTTATTTGCTGTAAGTACTTAAGTTAGTTGATGGATAGCAACCGCACAGAGTAATACATGGGCGATAACTGTGGATGGGGGGAGGGAAAGGCGAAACCGCCGAAACGTTAGTTATTGTATCTTAATAAATTCTGTAACAACCTCGTGTCTGCTTACTGAAAAAAGCACAAAACTCTATTTTTGTTTTTTTAAGCTATCTGAGGCAGTGGTTGTTCTGCTTCCAAGCTTTAGATCTTCGTCGTCACCATTTTCAAGCATGGATCCACAAATGATACCAGATGATTTATGGCAGTCCGTTTAACACTATTGCCATAAAAAACTCCATCTGCTTCCGTTTTGCTTTTATATTATAAACAACTGTTGTTCTCAGTCATAACTGTCAGCTCCAGCAGCAGCAACCACATCAACAGCCACAGCAACAACCACAGCAGCAACAACAACAGCAGCAACAAAAACGATTCCTTCCGAACAAGTTCGTGGTTTCTTGTCTTTCCCTGTGCAGTAACACGAATTAATTTCATTAGAAACAGTTCTAATGTCAACATTTGCCTCAAGAACGAGGATTTCTGGTCTACTTTTCTACCTTTCACATCATTGCATCGTTCCCACACCCTTGCAGCCTTTTATCTACAGCAAAAACGAACCACTATTTTTGACCCTTCCTTAGAAAACTTTATTTTATGCTCGTAATTGAAATTCAACACGTTCAGAACACTTTTTACTTCTACAAACAACTTTTTTTATCAGGCATACGCAGATCTAATAACCTTTTTATTAACCTTATTGCCAATTATTATTATCCTTTGATTCTTACCTCTACAAGTAAATCCGCCAAGTCGAAGAGAGGGAAAAAGTTCTGAAAAACCTTAGCTCTGCCAAACCGCTACAACATTTAAAAAGTGTCTATTTACGGACTCTGTTAGATAAAAGCAAGAGACTTTATCATTATGGACAGTTCACATCTAAGTTAGAAGGTTCCTCTTATAGAATTTTAAAAATCGTAGAGCTATTCACCTTGAAAGGCTCTCAGTTTCCTTTGTTAGCCCTGTGTTTGAAATATTATATAAAATAGTTGTTAAAAACCGCAATCGAACACAATAAGTTCTTGTTTTAGTTAATTATTATATGTCTTATTTTCGTTTCGCCACGGATCTCCCTCATATGAAAGATCTCGAGCCGGCTAGTCGCGAGGCTACGTGGTGCGTTCCCAGGTGGCGGATAGAGGTTAATCGTGGACCAAAAGCGACCTTTGCTTTTCTGAGACGCAGGTAGATCCAGGGATGGACTCCGTTTCTGCTGCTCTGATTTGGCAAATACTTTCTGTATTTGCTAGGCGTATTCATGCATGCGTGTGTAGGTGCGTTCTCGTTTATGCGGATTGTATTCTACAAGTCAATTCGGCCAAAAGCCCGCAATGGAAGTATATGGGAGGCGGTTATGAGTCGCCTCCAACAAGTAAGCTGCGACTCTGGGGGAATCTGGCAAGCTACCTGCGAGTATACCTAAAGCCAACGTTCAGACCCCAGCAACCTATATGTGGGTATAAAAATGATAAACACAGTAAAAAAAAAAAAGGACTTCAT